ATATATATATATATATATATATATATATAAAAATATAAATATATATAAATAAATATATATATATAAACACAAATATAAATAAATAAATATATTATATATATATATATAAATAAAGATGTATACATGTATACATATACATGAATAAATATGTATACATATGTATAAATATGTATACATATATACTTTCGATATATACGACGAAGAGGCAGTTCAAAGACAAGACGCGAGAACAAAAAAATTATGATGATTATATTTTATAAATAAAAAAAAATTGACATGTGATATAGATGGTAAGGCACGCGAGAATGCGTTGCGATGCATTACGAAAGCAAATGTATTCTGTATATCGTTTCATTAAATCTACTAAAACGATGGACCGACTAGTTTTTCATTTCCCTTTTTCATATTTTTTCTCTTCTCCTTTTCTTGCCTCTTTTCTTGCTAGTCTGTATGAGTGAACAATCAGAAATTGATCTAAGGGTTTGTTATTCAAGGATAATTTCTCACATTAACCCACCCTTCGAAATTACGTACATCTGGTCATAGCTCTTAACATGTCATACCGGTTCTAGAATTTAAATATGCAAAAGAAGAACATTGATATTTTACATTATATTTTTTTATAAATGTTTACAGCGACAAATATGAATAATTGCGGAAGATAAATTCTGATCATCAGCTGCTTGAGATAAGCATTCGAACTTTTATCAAATATCATCATATTGCTAATAATGTTACATTAATATTGTATTCTCAAAAATATATAAAATTACAATATTCCTTTGTAAAAATTATTTTAAAATACAAATAACTAATGAAAAATTTTATTCCTTGAGATATGCTTTTTCTATATATAAATAAAAAAACATTGAAATAAGAAGAAAAAAAATTAAATAAATCAGCTTAAATAAAAACTGGAAAAAAATATATATTGATAATAAATGTCAATAATAAATGATGACAATTGTGGCTAACATCTTTCTATTAAAATTTAATAATTATTACGAGATATTTGATTCATTAGATATAATGATTTATTATAATCATATTGTTACTCTTTAATTATATTAATGGTCTCACAAAATTTGTTTAAATAGCAAATGATTATTGAACCATATACATTTCTGATTGCATTTAAATGATTTAAAATTATTAAAATTAATACTTAATAATTTATTTTTTGGTAATTTATTATTAATAATTAATAATTTCCTAGAAAGTCAATTTAATTTTGATCGAGTTTTATAATGAAACTGTTAGAGCTGATAAAATAGTTACATACCTTCCTGCAACTAGATCAAGCATTAGATCGTCGTAAAGTTTTTTCTGTAAACAAATAATGATTTGTCGTTATAAAAATTTTAATTCAATTCTTCAATAATTTATCGTTAAAATTAGAAATATTCACCATTGTGTTTGTATTAAAGATTAGAAATATTCACCATTGTGTTTGTATTTCGTATTTGAACGTTATGTTGTTGTATCCAAATCTTTTAGGAAACGTACTTTTTAATATTACTGCAATCTTATAATATCGCGGTAATTATGCAATATTGCAATATGATGTAGTTAGATATACTCGTAATATCTTGCAATTTTTCTGTTGCATTGATTTGAAAATCTATAATTGTAAAAAAATTTAGTTGGAATATAAAAAACAAGATGTTGTATTTCTTTTGAATGGGATGGAAGAAGCAAATAATTTTCTTAATTACCTTGTTCTTGTTTAACATGTTATTGCAATGTACATGTAGAAATGTAGTACGGCAGAAAAGTTTGGTGTGAAATCATGTTCGTGAGTTAAAATAATCGTTTGTATTGTGAAAGAAAGTAATATTTTTCGCGCGAAAAATTTGCTTCGAAACGTTACGTTGAAGAACTCACCAATGATCAATTTCACAAATGGATGCAGAACCAATGCGATTCTCACAGCCGTGTTAGGTGGCGCGCGCGCATCAATCGGCGTATGCGCATTGCGCGATCAAAAGCACGCCTCAAGAAAATAGTTCGCTCTCGCAAGAAGAAAAACGCGATGCGATCGCGGCAAAAAGGCGTCACGATATTCTCGCATTTGACACAACAATCACGTCGATTCTACGTTGCTCGTCTTCACTTTTTGGACTGCGTTTTTCCCGTAAGCGTGCTAGTAGATGACGATTCGTGCGCAGCGGGCGCGAGAATATCAAAGAGTATCAGGTATTACTACGCCGCATGCTGTGTGCAAAGGAAGCAACGAGTGTCGAAGGAGGAACGGAGAGAGAAAGAGTGTGTGAGCGAGAGAGGATGACAAGTCGCGCGGCTGAGTCCGCGAGAGCAAAGGAGACGCATGAACTCGTCCGCCAACAGGAAGTGGATGGCAGGAGAAGGGGAACGTCGAGAAGGTAGTTGAGTCGGTGGTGGCTACATGTGGATATCCGCCGGTCGCGACGAGAATTTTCGCATCAGAAAGCAGACGTTAATTTCCTCGCGTCGAATCGCGGGATCCGTGACGTATCACGCCGTAAACGAGAGCGATCCGCAGTTAGTCATGCAGATGGACCCGACGACGTTGCAGCTGATCCAAATCCTTGAGAAGACCGTCTCGTCGGGTAAGTGTTGGAACTCCGCCGTTGTGTCGTGGACGACATCACGGAAAGGCCGGGCCTTATCTTCCTCAATCCGGGCGACTTTTCTGGAATCCCGTCGATCGGAAACGCGACGTTCGTGGGCGGCGGCAGCAGCGGTGACGGCCGATGATGGCGAATCTCGATTTTGAGCACGCGAGAACAACGTCGGAGCAACCGCGTGACGCGTTCCTCAGTTTCGATATATTCGTCCAACGTGTTTCGATCGGGCGACCGCCGCCGCCGTCGTCGCAGCCGTGTCGACCTCGCGACTTCTCATATGGCACATCCATCGTCATCCTCCCGCGAATGGAATCGCGAGCCATTTCGCACGCTGTTACGCGCGATATCGCGCCCAGTTGTGCTGTTGCTAGGCGCTTTGTTCGCCGCGGGAAAAGTATTGTCTCGCCGTGACGGTTGCTCGCAATGATCGCATTCGCACGCATTGGCGCGACACGCATCCGGAGCACTTTGTGCTCGTCTAAACTTATGATTTTTCGCGATTTCCTAATTAATATTAATCGCGCCACGTGATTAATATGTTTCTATCGCGTTTTCAGATAAGAATGAGCTCTTGGCAGCACAGAATTTCCTGCAGCAGGCGGCCGAAACCAATCTCGTGAGTAAACTCCATAATGGAATTTGTGATATCAGTGGAAGGAGTGACGTTCAATTGCAATTCGACGGTATATTTGTTTCAGCATGAATTCGTGCAACGACTCAGCGCCGTGCTGGTCACAGTCGGCGCGAGCCCCGTCGCCCGCATGGCAGCGGGTCTACAGCTCAAAAACCAACTTACCTCCAAGGATCCTGACATGAAGTTCCAGTACCAGCAACGCTGGCTTACTATCCCTGTTGAAACAAGGGAATATATCAAGAAAAATGTAAGAAGTGTCATTATATTTATCATATTTTTAATATTATTATTAATATTATTAATATTAATTAATATTATTATTTTTATTATTGATATTTTGATTTATCTAGCATCTAAATGTTTCTTCTCTTCTATTGAAAATTATAAATTTGAAATTGTTCCGATTAAGAATATTAAGTATAAATATTTATTTATTAAGTATAAATATGTATTTCTTCTATTTCAGCCAACAACTGAATCATTTGATGTTTGATATAAAATTTGATAAAATAAGTTGTATTTATTAAAAAAATTATATTATTGTATGTCAAGAAATAACATTTTTAAGGATGTGTCAAGTACATTGAGCAATAATTTTTTTTTGTTTTTAATGACAGTTTACGTGACAGAGAAGTACATTTTTTCTTGCAGATTTTAGGAGCGTTGGGAACAGAAAATAATAGGCCAAGTTCCGCGGCACAATGTGTCGCTTACGTTGCTGTTGCCGAGTTACCAGGGGGCAATGGAGCGAATTAATTCCATTGTTAGTCAATAATGTTGTCAACCCGTCCAGTACCGAGATGATGAAGGAGGCCACTCTAGAGACTATTGGATATATCTGCCAAGAAATCGAAAGCGAAGTGCTAGTATCACAATCAAATGAGATTCTTACTGCTATCATTCATGGTATGAAGGGTTCCAGCACGTCGAATCACGTTCGATTAGCGGCTACAAGCGCCCTGTACAATTCTTTGGAATTCACCAAAGGAAATTTTGAAAAGGAGGTTAGTATTTGTCATTATTGATGTAAATATTTTCATATATAACTATTACATTCTGTGCAATAAGCTATTAATGTGATGATATTTTAACTTTACATAGACGGAACGAAATTTCATAATGGAAGTTGTATGTGAAGCTACTCAGTCCACCAATACTCAAATCAGAGTAGCTGCTTTACAATGTCTTGTGAAAATTATGTCATTGTATTATCAATACATGGAAGCATACATGGCTCCAGCGCTGTTTCCTGTGAGTGTTATTTAGATTTTTGTTTTATTTTTTTTTTAATATTGCATATTATGCGTATCTAAATTTACTATGGAACTTTTTACAGATAACTTTAGAAGCTATGAAATCCGATGTTGATGAAGTAGCACTTCAGGGAATAGAATTCTGGTCAAATGTGTCCGATGAGGAAGTTGACTTGTCAATGGAAGAAGGAGAGGCAACGGAAGGGGGTCGTCTACCGCTGAAAGTTTCGCGACATTATGCTAAGGGAGCTTTACAATACTTAGTTCCGGTATTGATGAAGAAATTAACTAAACAAGAAGAATTTGATGATGAAGACGATTGGAATCCTTCGAAGGCCGCTGGAGTTTGCTTAATGTTGCTATCCTCATGTTGTGAAGAAGCTATCGTTCCGTATGTTCTTCCTTTTGTCAAGGACAATATTAAGAGTCCAGATTGGAGGTATAGGGACGCAGCTTTAATGGCGTTTGGTTCGATTCTCGGTGGTTTAGAACCTGCTACATTAAAACCATTAGTGGAGCAAGCTATGCCAACTCTTATCGAACTGATGTATGATACCAGCGTAGTCGTTCGCGATACTGCTGCGTGGACATTTGGTCGCATATGTGAGATGATTCCAGATGCCGCGATCAACGAAACTTATCTAAAACCATTGCTGGAATCTTTGGTAAACGGATTGAAGGCGGAGCCGCGAGTTGCCGCTAATGTATGCTGGGCATTTACGGGATTGGCAGAGGCAAGCTACGAGTCCGCTGAGGCAAGCGAAGATGGCAATCAACCGGAAACGTATTGCATGTCACCATATTTCGATTTTATCATTCAACGACTTTTAGAAACTACTGATCGACCAGATGGGGCACAGGCGAATTTGAGATCTGCTGCTTATGAGGCTCTCATGGAGATGGTGAAGAATTCACCGCGTGATTGTTATGTGACAGTACAAAAACTACAATGGTAATACTCGAACGATTGCAACAGGTATTGCAGATGGAATCGCACATACAGAGCCATTCGGATCGCGCCCAATACAACGATTTGCAATCGTTGCTTTGTGCGACTTTACAATCCGTTTTACGTAAAGTCACCACAGAGGACGCTCCGCAGATATCTGACGTGATAATGACTGCTCTGCTCGCCATGTTTAGCTCAAATTCCTGCAAATCGGGCGGTGTGCAGGAGGACGCGCTCATGGCTGTCTCAACTTTGGTTGAAGTGTTGGGAGAGGGTTTCCTGAAATATATGGAAGCTTTCAAGCCTTATCTTTGTCTCGGTCTGAAGAATTATGCCGAGTATCAGGTGTGCTGCGCAGCGGTCGGCCTCACTGGGGACATCTGTCGTGCGCTTAAGAGCGAAATGCTTCCTTACTGCGATGAAATTATGACTCTGTTGTTGGAAAACCTCAGTAATAACGCCGTTCATCGTTCGGTCAAGCCGCAAATCTTTTCAGCATTCGGTGACATTGCCATGAGTATTGGACCAGAGTTCAAGAAATACCTAGACGTGGTATTGCAGACATTGGTGCAGGCATCGCAGGCTAATGTGGACAGGAGCGATTACGATATGATTGATTATTTGAACGAGTTGCGCGAGGGTGTGCTCGAAGCTTACACCGGTATAGTCCAAGGATTGCGTGGCGATGGGAATAATTGTCCGGACGTCGCTATTTCCCTTATCGAGCCACACGTGCCGTTCATCATACAATTTATCACTTCGATAGCACAAGACCGCGAGCATTCCGAAGGCAATGTATCAGCTGCGGTAGGTCTACTGGGCGATCTCGTCATGGTATTTGGAACTAAACTGTTGCCCATGGTAGAAACCGAGCCGCTAAATGACTTGCTGGCTAAGGGAAAGAAGTCACGTCTTCATAAAACTAAACAACTGGCAAGCTGGGCTGCGAAAGAAATTCGAAAGCTCAAAACTGCTGCCAATGCAACGTCCAGTTGGTGAGTACCTTTTTATTATATTTTCTCGATACATGCCTAATTAATTCGCAGAGTTTCTTATGTGATTTGATCTCACTTTAATTGACGCGCGATTACACTAATATTGTATTTCATTTTGAATTTGTACTTTAATTCGTATCTCATTAGAGGGACAAGGTTATCTCCTTTATTTTTTGTTGATTCTTTTTTCGCGTTTTTCCGCACTCCGCCTTTGTGCACATTCGATTACTATGTCATCGTACATTCTTTGGTGTTTTTAAGTATAACTGGCGAGTTTTTCATAGCGAAGGTAGGATGTAGGATAGGATTGATTAGAGGAAAGAGAGAAGGGGGAGGGCAGAAGAGAGAAAGAGAGAAAAAGAGTGAGCAAAAGAGAAAGTATGGATGCGCGCACGTCAGAATAAAAAGACACTGAAGAATTATTTCAATGTCGATAGGAATGCACTACCTTCTGTCATAGTGTTTTCTGTGTTGTTTTCTGTCCCTCGGATTTCCCGCGTACGCGACTTGAAACACCCGCCCGAAACTCCCCTTCTCCGAAAAGAATGAGCACCGATGAGCGACGGTGACTGATATTTGGCTCGCTTTTGTTGTTTACAGATCACCCCACGGTTGTACTGTCGTGCAATTTGATTTGACTAGAAAGCTATCAAACACAATACAAAGACAACAAGATTGGATGGTGCGGATGCGAGTTGATGGATGTGCGTGAGTTCCGAAGCGATGATGACGAGATGGGGTGATGAGTCTGCACGTGTCCCTATCTGGCGACGGTATTTTATCGATATAATATATCGATGTCGAATGCAGCCCATATGGATCCGAGAGAAAGAGAGTTTAGCGAGAACGCGAGAGCGAAAGAAAGTGAGAATGAGAGAGAGAAAGAAAGATAGAGCGCATGCTAAACGAAAGAGCGAATAAGAAAAAGAAAAGAAAACCAAAATACCTGTCTGCCGGATTCCGACAATGGATGATGAGGATGTGCAAATGGATGTTGCCGATGAATGAATTAAGGCCAAGTGAAAAGTCTATGGAGATTCTGATTACAAGTATGCCTGATGTAAAGAAGTCTGCGGCATTTACCCGTGTGATTGAAAGATTAAACCCCGAGAAGAGAGAAAGAGAGGACTACTTCAATTATCGTGGGTAGTGAGAGAAATGAACGGAAGAAGATACGAAAGAGCGCGACAGGAATACCATGCGAGGTTGGACGGAAAATATACATATATATGAGTGAAGGAGAGTGAAAGCGAGAGACTCAGGGAGAATTTCCGAAATAAAGTGATAGCATGATAGATACGAGAAAGAACGAATGACAAATGTAATACAATGTATGATGTAGCAATGTGTAGCAATGGGTATGCGTGTATGAGAGAGAGAGAGAGAGAGAGAGAGAGAGAGAGAGAGAGAGAGAGGTGTGTGTGTGTGACAGAGAGAGAGAGAGAGAGAAAACGAGAGTCTTTTATTTACAGTGACTCGCCGTTGACTCGTTGTAAAGCTCATATCGAGCTTCTCAACGACGTGCAGATTTTGAATCGCGATTTTTAGCTATCAATGCTTAGAATTTTCGCGCGTGCGAAAAAGTGTCGCTTTCCTATACAACGGAGTGAGGCGTGAGTGAGCAGCGAGGGAGAGGAAGAGAGAGAGAAAGAGAGAGACTGAGTGCGAAAGGTCGGGAAGATTACAGAACTCGACTGGACGACCCCTGGTCTCCGATTGTGCTGCGCGAGAATCTGCGTGTTCCGTTGTGTAGTAGTATGGAATGATGTGTATGTTACTTTTTCCCCGTATGTGAATGTCTGTTGCTGTTGAGATTGGATCATTAAAGTTAATATTTTGCTGGCACAAATGATTTAGTTGTACCGAAGTCCTCGTCCGGCCTGAACGTCCGCAAGAGCAAATGATATCGAATGCTCAAAAGCAATCCCCGACTCTCCCTCACTCTATCCCTTTTATATCTCACCTCGATACCTTGTTGATATCACGTAAGTCCTTTTTACTAATTGGCCAAGTATTTGGCGCGATCACGGTATTCACGAGTGACGTCGCAGACGAGGAGCTTTTCGCACTGCCATTTGGAACAACGCTACACGGCTTGTCCAGACATTTTTTAAACACTCGTTTCTTCCTTTCCCCTCGTTCGTCTGGGAACGTCTGGGTCACTCGTGATCTGTTCTGGGTGAGATCGTCTTCCTGACCGCGCGTTGCCGCGCAGGAGCACTCATCATTCATGCGTTTGTACGATGGGAGTGTCTCTTCGCGGACTCTGAGGAAGTACCGTGATCGCATTTGAACGAGCCAAATTCTACCAAATTGACGTAGTTTAGTGTCATAGCCTGGAGAGAAGTAGCCTAGTGGATCTCTTTCGTAACGGAATCTAAGTCCGTGGTGAAATCGCGCATTTCGATTTATGCGAGATCGCGAAGAGCCGCTCCTTCACGTTCGAGCGGGATGTCTCAAGTATCCCGTATCTCTACCTCTGTTTATATCGCGTCCTTGATGACGAAAGTCAGTGCCGTGTCGACTGTCGTCGCGAATCGTCATCGCTAGTCCGTTCTGTAGAATCGTGAAATCTAAAGATCTTTTGTAATTGTAGATCGCGATTTTTAATGACGTTTTGCAGTAATAACGCAATACGGAATCACGTTGTCGTCAAGAAACGTCTGCGATAGTGCCATGCATTCCAAATGTTTTTTCCAGCGTTCCTTTTTTCGCGTAATTTAAATACCTTGTCGCGACTTCACGTTTATGAATACCTTATCCGTACACTCGTTTCTCATTTTCGATTTTCCAAGTGCGAAAGGAAAATAATGGCGTAGAGTGACGTAGAAGAATCTTTAGTTTTTTAAATTCATCAAATGTGAAGCAAATGTATTTTGGTAAATGTCGACATGTGCACATTCTTCAGAAATCACGAACAAAACAACGAGAATGTCACGTAGAACAATTATGCTTCGCCCAATTATGTTTACATTTCTGAAAATCAAAATTCGTGCGTCTTTAATCATTTATCGAAATCGATATACTTTTAAAGTGCTCAAACAATTTATTTCGCACATGACTCGTGATAACATTGATTAATTGTCCCGTATAGGTGTTGCCACGATATTTCGTAGTCTGAGTTTTTATGAGAAATATTTATACATTCCTGAGTTACAAACTCTAGAGGAATTTTTGGTTTTGTTATTTGAAAGCTGTATATATAAAATTTCTTTTAATCGCCGTATCTATTGGATTTAATGATGATGAGATAATGGTAGTATTATCAATGTAAAAAATAGAAATATTGCCAAATTGTAAATAATTAAGAAGTATTTCATCGCCGATTTCAAATCTATCTATTTATCGAGTGATATCAAAGTTTAATAATATGGGATATATATGTATCGAAACTATTTCTCAAAGAGAAAACTAACTATTTTTCTAAGCTAAGATCTTTCATAAATCATGTAGTAAAACTTCTTGCGAAAACAGGAAAACGTTCTAAATTTGTGGCAATATTTATTCGAGCCATTCTATTTTAAGACGATTATGCTATTTGTTGAATAATCAATGTTTTTCAAAAATCTATTAAACATATCTGTAATATTCTTTTTTTTTTAATTAATAAAGTCTTAAATAATATCAAATTTGTAATACTAAGTTTATCAGGTGATTCTAAGAAATTCGATAGTCAAGTATTTTAATAGTTATCTTTTTCTCGTTTTATTTTTGTTTATCAAAGAATTCGATTATTCTTGTCAAAATATAATACTTAATTTCGAAATTTTGCCGCAATTAATTAACTCTTAATTTACTATTTTAACATTTTATAATATACCAAGGGCGTTTAATTAACGATTGCGGTCGACAGATTCACGATTGCGACGGACTTGCTAGAGACGCGAAAATATCCTTTTCTTTTATACATTCCACCTAGTAAAAATAAAATAAATAGAGAGTGACAGAAAAAAAGAAAGAATGAGAATGAGTGCCACGACGGAGAGGACAGCGGTGCGTGTCTTTCCGTATCTTGCAAAGAACTCGATCGCTCACCTGTTTTTCTGATTCGCAATCGAGAATTTGCATTTTTTTGTATGTGAAGGTCGCCGGAATTCGCAGCGTGTTCTGATTTTGGTGCTGAGATCGATCGTTTTCTTAAAATGAATCTGGTGTTAAACTAAGGAAAGCATAACGTGCGGTGATTCTGAGAATCGCATTAATATTGATTAATTATGCAACAATATACATATTTAGAAATGAACTTAATTTTATCGTCATTAACGAAGAAATTATCCTTAAAAAAATCACGTTATATAATTCGAAATATGAATAGTTTATATATATATTTTTTTGTTAATCTTTATATTATTATTGTCTTATATATTTATGAAAAATATTTATATATCTATTCGCAGTGCGAAAAAGCCAAATGCTTTAAATTTGAAAAATTTGAAGAAAAGAAATTACAAGTTTAAGTTGTTGACTAATAGAAAAGTTTTATAAAATAAAAATATTCTTTTCTTTAAATTTCATTACATTGTAATTAAACATTCAAAATTCCAAAATCGTCGATCATTTATTTGAACAAAAAGTTGTGTCGAAAGTTATCGAAGACTGAAGATTATTAGTATCTAATTATTGTTCCAATCACTATTCTAAGAGTTTCAATGTACGTTTATAATACTTGATCATCAGATCGTTTTCAAAAAGATCATCTCGACGCTTACGCAAAATCGCCGCGAATTGCGTCGCCAAATTTGTTGATGGGGGAAAAAGACAGTAGAAAGAAAGTCAGGTGCGAGAATGAAGCGTGAAATCGCTATAAGTGAACGAATGAATCAAAGATTCGCGATACAAGAGAGAGAGAGAGAGAGAGAGAGAGAGAGAG